GGTTTCTGTAACGCGGCAGCACACTTTTTATATACGATTTGTGGGATACCATCGAACGTTGCAGAAGAGGAATTCTTGAGCGACTTCAAAACAGACAAGACACCTCTTTAGGATGTACAAAAATGTCGTATTCAAACGAAGGCACCGAGATGACGCGATGCTCCAAAATGGGTGGCGTAGTGTTATCCGGAGAGAAAACAGAAACGTAGATTCTAGACTGCTAATGGGAACGACGGCCAAACGCTCTAAGCCTCAGTGTTGCGAGTTGAAATCATGTTCCCAGATTTGTGAGACGTTGAGCACAATATCAAGTATCGAGTCACCACGTGTTGGTTGGGACACATGCTGAGTCAGACCACAACAGTTGAAAAAATCAAGAAACTTCATCGAGGTTGTATTCTTAGCGAGATTCTTGCTCCAGTTGATGTCTAGGTTGAAGTCGCAGATAATCGTTGCTTGTTCGAAAGACAGAGTTCAAAAAGACTGTCGATCAGCTTAGCATCTTCAACACTGGTGGAGTTGGGTGGTCTATATACTAAAACCATTCTAAAAGGGACAGAGGCTTGGGCGTCAAACCCCTCTAGACACAAAATATCCGATGCTGACTCTGAAGAACACATGATAGTCTTCAAATTAATGACGTCTTTAACAAGTCACGACGCCTCCCCTTTACGAAACTTACGATCGGATCGAAAAATCTTATAAGGGTACCCGGAAAGAATCTCAGAATCTAGGACTTTTGTGGAAAACCAGGTCTCCGTAACGAATAATATATCAGGCTCGTATTGACTCAAAAAAGGTGAAGATGATGAATTTTATTACTTAAGCTTCGAGAATTGAAAAGGAAACATTTAACGCCGGTTTGGTTTCCAAATAGAGTGTTAATAGAAGACGAAAGCTCAAGGGGTGATTTGTGTCGATTTGAGTAAACGAACTGCTCACATTCCTCCCTCAAATCCTAGTACGGAGGCAAAGCATCAGAGTTAAGCGCTGATAACATATCAGATCCACTGATCGATCCCAGCGGCACACCACTCTGCGAAAGGGTGTCAGGCACCCACGGGTGAACGATCAGTGGTCTGCAGAGGCGAAGAGACAGAGGTGAAATTTGCATTAGACTTTGGTAGCTCGTCGACATGCTTTATTTCACCACGATAAACGACCCAACTACGTTTACTGAGTTTTTTGTTGCGTTCGTAACACTCTTGTCGCATCTCATAATCTTTTTTACGCTCAGCTAGGGTCATGCTTTTACGCACATGAACATTGTTGAAAGTAGACTTACGTAGCTTATACGAATTTTTCAACGCGATGAACCAATGCGACTTCGAGGGCAACACCACCTTTACCAAGCGCGGTCGGGTCTCACTCTCTTTTCCTAATTCGAGAACCTCGGGCTTGGCATTGTAAATGTACATCGAATATGGCACTTACCTTGTTTTCCAGATCGTTTTGTTTGAGCGATGGAGTAAGATCTTTAGGAGGCTCAGTAACTCCAGATAGCACAATACTTCTAGACCTTTTATCTGTCTGAATACCATAGCAATCTCAATCTGTATCTTAGACATGAGAGCCAATAACATCCCTTACATCATGGATCGGTATTGCGCACTAGAATAGCATTACAATTTCACGTGCTGAAAGTTTGGAATAATCGACCTGAAGTAAACTATTACTATGATTACTGTTACTATCATTGTCCAGAACATGACTCTGTTTATCGTTTGTTGCCGCTTCAATAGTCACCGCACCCATAGATTGATTGGTTCTCTTCATTTGACTTCTAGTCTGCATGATCTCAATATGGACTTTGTACTCAGGCCCAATGAATCGATAGGTGCCGCGAAAATATGCTTAGAAACTAACGACTAACCGATGAAAAATCAGAGGAGAGAGTAGACACCGAACTATTCCGTGGATAGCTCAGCTATAGAACCAGAATAAGATTCAAATGAAAAGAAATGTGAGACGAGAGGAAAATACAAGAGGTTAAATATGATAAGTAATTATTGTACTATTTATAGATAACTAATTAATTATATCTACTATTAAACAAGAAAGACTAGTCAGATGGTGAGTGTTCCAACATTATGCACGTGGAGAAGCGGGAAACGGAAGCGGATCTCTGTTTGAGGGCGGATGGCGAAAAGCTGTCGCCGTGCGAATATGCGTCAAGGAGTAAAGGGTGCTGTAGTTGAGAAATAGCTGACGGAATCCATCCACAAGAGGCAGAGTATACGATAAAAAGCAGCTCTGCAACGAGCTGGAGTTGTCCAATAACTTCTCCATTTAGACTGAGAGGGAGCACTCTTTGCCGCTCATCCAAGATTTCCACGAAGAAGTGTGCAGAGTCCATATCCTCGATGGAGAGGCGTGCTCTTTATGTTTCTTGGGATCTGCTTGTGATTTTTCCTGGAGGCTGCAGTTCGGTCTTGGAGAGTCGTGGCGGTGGAAGATGAGAGATCAAGTTCGCAGGGAGGGTCTTTTTGTGGAGAACTGAGGTATTTTTCAAGACTTCCACCAGGATTTACTGGAAGGGAGGCTGTGTATGCGTTCTACCCTCAGTGGGAGTTTGTTATGTGATGACAAAATCAAAAGTTCAAAACTAGTTCGTATGACGTATTTTCGCCAGCGGGCAAAGGGTACACGGGAACGAAATAACTTCGCCTAACAATTCTTGTCTGCTTTGGCCAACACATTTTTCAAGTATTTTATGGGCTAAGTTACATCTAAACCTTTCCGGGCATGGAGAAATTTCACCTCTCTCGTTCGCAGATAACACCACACCGAGTAGAAGTATTGCAATCAGCAACGCCTTCATGGCTTGGTGCTGAACTAAAAATGAAATCTGCAGAGAAGGTATAACGATTTGAAAATGACGGCCAAAGATTGTTGATTACTACCAACAGTTCACAAGAATGCTGGGTTGTGAACAAAACTTTCGCCCCAGGCGGGACTAGAACCCGCACCTCTCGCTTTCCGGGCAAGTGCGCTACCAGTTACGCTACCGGGGCACCATTTCATTCCAACTCAGCTTTTCATGGTATACTTACCATAGCTTTCAGCACTCACACGTATATCGTAACTACCAACAGTTTCGATCTTCTGATTCCCTACTCCGCCGTGTTCCAATATTGAAAAAAAAACTAACAAAAATGCTCAACAAGTTGCATATCACTCCAGTAGAGTCTAGTAACTGGCATCCTAATTATATAAAAGTCTTGCGCTTATCTCACGAATGAGACGACAAATGGCTCACAGTGACTGCTCGACTCGATTCGACTTTCTGCAGAAACATTTTTGAATAACAGCAAAGACGTGCTCAAAAAAGTTTTTGTTTCCGCAGATCTCCTAAGATCGGGAGCCTGAAAATGAAATATACGTATCTACCTATATAAGTAGAGGAAGGTATGACGATAAAGATGGAGCGCATCGGGGAATATGTATCACACGAAGCGATACTTTGAGTGCGAAGGAACCGAGATGAAGCGCTTTCACAACGTGACGCTGGTTGCTGAGCAATCAGCCTTGAAATCGCTACCGCCCTCAAAGCGATCCACCCACTAGTTTAGTTGGTGATTTGGACGAGCTGTGTTGCCAGCAGCAACACCGCAACTCGACTGGAGCATGGATTGGCATGGTGCCACCAAACGCGTTGCGGTAAACTCGTCCATACGTCCGCCGTCTTAGTCGCTCCGCCCTTGAGCGGAAGTGAACGGAAAGAAGGTGTTTCGCGCGGCACAGACGCCCGTGCTCCCGTAGTCCGATTTAACAGATCGAGGTTCACGGGAAGGAGCGGCGTCAATGTCCGGCGTGAGGGTCTAGGGGTGAACTTACGCGGCTCGCTGGCCCGCCACTTATGCACGCGGCCCTATGCCTGACAGCCCGACTGGCAGGTCGCATAACCTATGAGTATTGCATTTACCTGGACTACGGCCTTTGGATTGTTATTTGTCCGCTCCAGCGCGTTGTGGGATTTACCGGCCCCGGGGCCTACGGCCTTACACGACTATGAAACAATCATATTAATAAATAGATAGTATGGTGCGGATCAACCGCTACGATTTAAACACTACAAGAAAATATACCATAGATTCATATGATCTTGAAACTACGATGAAATAAACAACTACAACATAATACGGCTACTACACCTAGACTCACGGGTCGAACCCAGAAGTGCTTCTTACGCGGGGATGACGTGGCTCGGCTCCGTCGAGTCACGAAAGAGGGCTCCTTTCCGCATCTCTCTTCTCGCATCAAATCTCATTCTGGATTTCTCGGCTTTTTTGCCATTGGCTTGCCATTCAGCATTTCCAATTTTCTTTCAAACTCCTATAGAACCTATCGTAGTCACTGCTTTAATTACTGAAAAAAGGACGACGGTTAAGGCACGGATAGTCGAGTGGATAGGTGGGTAGACTCACGTATGCACCCTCGCGCACTGAATCTTGCTAACTTATGCGAACATAGGAAGCAAAGTGGTTCATTACGCAGAAATGTTGAGGATGGGAAGCGACTCCTAATCGATAATCTTGAAGCTACCATTCGCAGTCCACTCACAGAACTCAAAGCGCGCTTTGTAACAAGGGGAGGGCTTTGGCTCTCGAATGGAATACTGGTTTAGGTCTGCATGCTACTATGCGCATTAACCGCGGGTTCAGTGAAGCTGGACATTCTCTGAAACATCGGCTCCCGTAGTTTATGAAGCACTTTACTGCTGCATATGTGGCCGTGGGTCCTGATGCTCCACTGGCTCTCTGTAACTACCCTACCGTATTACGCGGTAGCGTGTGGAGAAACTGGCAAATATCTCACATTCAAAACATCTTTCTCGGCATATAAGAATTGGTGCTCTATGCGAATAAACTTGGTAGAAATTTTTTATTGTTACTGAAAAATCAAATTCCATTAAAAACGGTACAATACATTCATATCATCTACATATATTTACACAATCGAGGATAAATGAGTGTAGTCCTTGAGAATGCGTTTCCCTTTCAGCACAGCCCGCAGGCACGTCCGCAATACTGCATTTTGTATGCGTTTGAGTAGAACGTGCTGTTGCAGAATCCATTTCGAACCCATTTGGAGCAACTGAAAGCACTAGTAAATAGAAAGTACAAAGAATGTTGTAGGCCAAGGGAGTGCTGAAATTTTTGACCATGAGACCAAACATCGAATTCTACTAGTAGAGTCAGATATTGCTTGAACTTCAATAATGAGATTTTATATGGGAAATTCCGATTGTGACTCAATTCGTGTGGGTCCCTACTAGAAAAGCTCTCGAGACGCCTTCTCTCTTAAGTATTGCTCAAACTTCATGACCTTGGAGAGCTAGAAAGTCTACAAAAATCATAACCATACAAAATTATGTATGTATCGGCAGGGAGATTCCCAGAATCAGAAGTAGGGGAGTCCCCAATAAGTGAGACTTCGACTCTGGTCTCCGCCCTTGGAGAATCGCAGAATTGCACAAGCGGCCAAATCAATCAATCTTTGAAAAAAAATTCACTGTATAGACCTGCACTCCGTCTACTGTTGGGGTCTTTCAACTAACTTTTCTCTCACTATTTAGAAAAGGATCCTCAAAACCCTAGTGGCTTTCAAAATGGCCTGCGGGGACACATAAAGGGCTCAGGGTGGCCCATCTCAGAACAACCATCGGTTCTGGTGAAGTCCTCGTCAAAGTTCCATATGCAAGAACGAAAAGTTACTTTGGGTCCGATCCACATCCAGTGCCTGAAAAAAGAAAGATCAAATAAATACAAATCGGTGTCTTTGGATAGACTCAAGAAGAAAAAAAGGAAAGAACAGACTTTTGACCGGAAATAGTGTATGAATTTCGCTATT